CCAGGAAGTGATTCTGTACAATAACTCGGTATAATAAAAGATGGATCTAGTTCCCATCCTTCTCGTCCTTAATACGCCCTCATAGCACAAGTGACTTAGGATAAAAAGAAGTGTCAGCTAAATGCCGACCAATGCATCGTACAAATTACTTCGAAAGCCCATTAATCAAAAATCTATGCGGAAATTCATACTTATTGTTGAATAAACTTTTGAGTACTTTCTCACTCAATTCAATATCGCCGCAGACCTTTTCTCAACGTTTTTGCTAACATATTAACTCAACTCAAAAAAAAAAAACCTTACCTCTCTGATTTCTCTGACACATGGCTTATAAGTTTAAGTTTAAGATGCGTGAAACAGAGAAAAAATCGCTCACAGAGATCGCCCTTAATGAATAAATTTACCATTCTGTCCCACGAACATGACATAATATATTCTGTATAGATTTCAAGCTGCTAAGATTTTTCCATTCCTTAGACTCGAAATAACCCATAGGAGATAACGTTTTGTCCAGATCGGTTTCGTGATGGAAGCAACTTAAATATAAATATGCCAGATCTGTATATCTGCTCTCGGTTCCTGTTGAGAGCGGGACCATTGTCACTCTTCTAAATCATATAAGCGATAATATCAGTTCATTTTCCTGGCTGCGGTCACTTTCTATCTAGCTATCTGCCTCCCTTCTTCTATATGATCATTATCGTGTTGTGCACAATACAACAGGGCGAAATCCTCTGAATGGTCCGTCGGGACTAGGTTTTCCAAAAGTCAGAACAATGGAACAAAATGAACATTGAGCCATTTAGTTGCTATAATTGGAATCCTAATGAAAATATTAATAAAATTTAATAGAAATAAAGTCTCTATTTTATGAAACTTTACAAAAACTTCCAACCAGTATGAATGAACTCAGCCCCTTTTAGATTTCAATATTGTCAATTTTTCATAATTTCTTTTTCAATATTTTTGCATTTTCAGAATTTCGTACAGAGCGTACAGATAAGCAAATAAATAGATGATTGAGGGTCGCCGATCTTAGAAATTGTAATATATTTCAGGCTGAGTGATGCGTGTAAAATATTTTGCAAAATTGTTGTTGTTCACGGTTTAGGACACGATGTTGTGATTGCCAAATGGCCGCATAGGGTTGATCTTTCGGTTAAAGTGCAAACTTTGCTGTCATCAACTATTACTTTCATCGACCGATCAAGCCTAAACGAATATTATGAGAAACTCCATATCCAATTTCAATCAATTTTGAGCAAAAAACAAAGCCATAGATTCGCTGTAAATTTTAATGAAAATTATTTTGTGAATATATTTTAAGTTTTCGTATTTTATTATTAAGTTGAATTTCATATTTTTTTTTTTCTATTTTTTTATAAAAACTTGAAATCAACTGAACTTTTCACGTTTTCATATTTCATATATTTTTCAAATTGCATCTAAATTTAAATTACATTATTCTATATTGTTATAGTTTATTTTCAATTAGTTCGCCTGAATAGCCGAGCAGACAAAGCATCTCGACTAACTCTCTCTATGTATGTAATACTTTAAGACTTTAGTTTTAGAATTTATTTCATTGACTAAACTAATAATAATAATAATAATAATGATAATAATAATAATGATAGTAATGAGTGAATGAATGAATGAATGATTGAATGAATTAATAATTATAATAATAAAATGAAGAAAAAAAAATTCGTATAACCAGGTTTCAACGGTGCAGGACGGTATAAATTAATTGTGCTATACAAGGAATGGCTGTATATTATAACAAATTATTAAATTTTTTTTTTTTCTCTCTTAAAATATTATCTTTGTCGTCTTCCAAGTACTTAATTTTCACTTTTTTCTTATGCCTTTTTTTGCAAATTAATTAAGGAGTTAGGGGTAAAAAGCGTGAATTTGCAAAGCAAGTAAATGAAAATGTGAAAAAGTGATATGTAAAAAGTATTATTAATTTAAAAATTTTTATGATTTCATCTCTGACGAAATCAAAAACTTACTCAATAAAAGTTAAAGAGAATATAATCTGAGTCAGCATATCCGTTGATTGACTCTTACTTTGTCCTTTTGTCAGCATGTTGTGAGAGATAGAAAACTCAGCGCTAAATGCAAAAGTGCTTTAATGATTGCTAAAACGCTAAAACCAGTTACAAAATAAACTAAGAGCTTTATATAATCAATGTTGTCGATTAGAAAAAATTATGCCGACGATTATGGGAAGTAATTCCTTTATAAATGGATTATTATTAACTAACTAATATGAATGTAGTTAGGGATAACAATTTATACAAAATTCGTCTTAAAGGAAATATCAATATATTACACCTATACATATATTTTAAATACATAATATAGAACTGTGTCCAAAAATTAACGTAACGTAAGACACGTAACAATAAAATAGTATTTCTTGTTAACAGTTTGGCCAGGTGGAACCAAATTCATAGTCAAATCGGGGAAAACGGTTTTTTCTGTCTTGGCTCAACTTTGATTGATCAGCTGTTTCCGGCTCGTATGCGTACATCCACAACTCATCTTCCGTAATATGGCGTTTTATGACGTCCTAATTATTCAGAAATCATTATTACACCGCCATAGTAAAACCAAGCGCACCGATGACGTTTATGACTTGAATTTTGCCAAAGATGTCTTTCAATCCGCGCTATCTGTCTTACTTTTTCGTCACAATAATAGTACATATGTTTGAAGCAAACTTTTGATTGCAAAAATTTAATCGTTTCTTCTCTCTTTTTTTTTTTTTTTTTTTTTTTTAGTGCCAAGTATGTTTCACTTCTTCTTCACGTTATTTCATTTTCAAAGAAAAGTTTTTTCCGCGTAAATCTAATGTTTTTATTAATTTAATTCTTCAATTCCTAAAAAAAATATCTCATCGACGCAAATCGCAAACAGCTCTAATCATATATTCATTTGTTTTTTTTTAATATCTCGAAAATAATGAAGAAACTATTCCTTCAATTTCAGTGAGGAATTCTTAATTGTTTATGCCTGGATCCATAATCTATTTACACTTTAAAGCTAGATGTTAAACAACCCAGTTTGGAATATGCGTAAATAAATTAGATACAAGTGTTTGAAGAATAAAACATTACTGAGGTTAAACCTTTTATAGATTCATGCTGTACACAAAAAATATACACTCATTTTTTAATTTCATAAGTGATGGGCGACAAAAACACTGTTTTTACTCTCACTATCTACCGTGCGCTTTCTGGTCACACATCAACCCTCATAAATACTAGATCGCGCAGTGATATTTTAATATTTTTCTCGAAACAAATAGAAGGAGGCAATCGATAAACATGCCTATGTATAGGAGGGAACTAAATCAATTTCCGCATTTATGCGATTTTTAAAGATATGCGAGCCTATAAATAAAATAGAAGACGCAAGTGGAGTATATGTAAACATGAACATTAAAATTTTCTCCACGATCTACAAATATTAGTAAAGTTAGTCCAACTCAATCTATTATTCATATTCATTCCATCCGTAGAAGACCATCTATCTAATTATCGGTGAATACAAGCTTTACGAATCTTTGAATATCGTTACAATTTTTCATAAAAATACGCATTATGTCGGGACGGATTGAGTGTTTTATAAACAAAAACAATAACATTTTATTCGGCGTACAGCAACGTTCCAGTCTGTAGGAGTGTAAAAAAAAAGAATAGTTTCCGGAATAAATCGAAACGTGAACGCTATCTTCTCCGGCATAATTTCAGGCGGATTGTATTGTAATATTACAAAGCCTTCAACCCTAAAAGCAAAAAAAAAAAATTTTGCTTTGATTCAAGACCTAAAATCGAACTGCATAACTTCATCGCTTAGCTATCCAAAGGCATGTTAAGAAAGTTGACAGTTTTTTGTCATGAGACTTAATTATATCAACGTATTTACCGATTCCCGCCGGTCGTGCCCTGCCATCGCTCTCATGACTCAAAAACTAAAAAGAAAAACTGTTAAAACTAGCAGCGTTGCCGGAACACTAGTCAAACAACGGGAAGAAGCATTCTGGCAGTCCAAGTTTTCGCTCTTGACGAGCACACCTTTTTTCACAGCTTTACGAAGGCTTTTTCTACCGTTTTGTTAATAAAAAAAAAAAAAAAGATCGCAAATAAACATTTTTCTTCTTCTTCATTTTCGAAATATATTAAATATGAAGAATACTTTTTCTTAAAGTTTCGGCTTAAAACTAATTTAGGTTTGTGTTCCTTCGCTCCTTATATTTGAAATTCAAGCGAGCGGAAAAGATATGCTCGCTAATTATGTCGGAAGAATAGACGAAACGTAAAAACAAGGATAGTCGCCTGTCTCAGCTCAATGACACATCAAAAATCTTAACAATTTCGTGTAGATTTATTTAATGAATTTCACAAGAGAGATTAGCTTAGCTTAAGAGTGAACATTTAACGCTTTTCAAGTTAAGCACGTTTAGAAGCTGATACTGATCGCATATGGCGAAGCTTAGCGCGCAATAAGCAACCAAAACTATTTTATATAGAGATGATGTGTATAAACTAATTTGATCCAAGCTTAAGTTAAAAATGCTTTTTCTTTTCTTGTTTCTTTTAATCACATTTATTTTATACATATATAAATTGTGATTGGAATTTTTATTGAATATATTTTCCTTAAAGCAGATTTAAGATCATTTTTGATTTCTTTAGTTTTTTAAAAGTGATAAATTTTATTCGGAAACCCATAAATGTGTGCGTGTGTGTGTGTGACTATATACATGTCTCTATGTGTTTTGGGGAAAAAATGCCATAAATTATAAATATGTACAAATGTAAACATTTTGTAATTCAATACTAAGATCAAACAAGCGGCAAAACCAAGCTGTGAGTCTTACATAAATACTTAAACAAAAATATGCATATGCCTACGTATATATATATATATATATATATATATATATATGTATATATGTATATATATAATAGAAATAGAAGTAAACTTACCTTTTTATTCATATAAACGTTGCGAACTAAGTAAATGAGCATTTATTTATTTATTTTAAATATGTATACATACAAACGCACAGACACACACTTTCATATACTTTATTAAATTCGGTAGAGTGCTTAAGCTTAAAGAAGGAGATTGACGACCGACAAAAATTGTTATTGAATATAAGTCGCAATCTAAGCAAATTCACAAGCATTTATATATATACACATATACAAATGCGTATTTAAGTACGAATATGAAAGAAAAAAACAATGAAATATTCGATTAAATTTTTCGGAAATTTTTCTCCTTTTTTATTTGATTTTCACTCTCCTTCTGTTGGTTTATTGTTATTTGTTTTAATAAAATACAAAAATGACAATTTTCCTCCTTCTTCTTCTTTTTATTACGATTACTATTATGAATATTTATTTAAGAAACATTAGATTTTTCTTTGAAATGCTTGAGAATTTTATGAAAATTCTTTAATTATTATTAATTAACTATTTATATGATTTAGATTTGTATGCATGTGTTCATGTCAATTTAAGGAAGCGTCCAATATTTATTTCATTTTCACCGTTTAAAAATCGCGAACTGCTTATGCTTACGCTTACGCTAAATTTTAAGCATGTACTAAACGAATAGATAGGTTATTAGAAAATAGTAGCAATAGAAGTTACGGTAGTGTTGGTGATGTTGGCTAGTCTTTCATTTAAGCGCTATGTGTAGAGAATTTAAAAATTATTCCAACGCGTAAGTAAATGCAAGTTTTTGCTGTTGTTGTTTTCACTGCTAGGCAGTAGTACCAACCAATCCGTTGTTTCCTTGATTTATTTATTTATTTTTTTTTTTTTTTTGCTTTTAATAAAACAAGAATAAGTACCGGTTTACGCTAATTGTAAAAAATTTTTTCTTAATATTCATTTGATCTTTTTTTTTTCACTTTCATTGCACATATGTATATATATACATATACATATATATATATATATATATATATATACATGTATATATTTAAAGGAAATTTTCCATTATTTCTTTTCAAACGAGAAGAAAACGATTACTTTAAAATTATTTACCATTTTTTAAGCAAACATTTCATATTACATTCCTTTAACGCGTATTGGATTGCTTGTTCGCATTCAATCATTTTCAAGTCGTAAGAGCTCTAGAGCCTTCTATTCTTTCTTTTACCCCGACAGATTAGCTGGCTTGATTTCTTTTTTTTTTCGCTCATTTCGTTTATGCTCAAATTACACAGAAATTATTTTTTCTTCATAAGACCATTTTCCTTTTGTATGTGTGTTTAGTATTTTTTTTTTTTTTTCTTATATTCTTTTGTTCACATTCTTTTAAATGAAAAGTAACAAAAGGCAAAAAAAAAAAAAAAAAAAAATTCTTTTTGAGCAGCTAAGTGTAAAAAACCGGTTTCACTACCAAACATTTAAAACGCCCGTAATATATTTACGAATATTATTTCGCACAGCTCTCGCGATAGAAATTTACACATCCTTATACCGTAAAAGTTCAAAAAAAAATAATAAAAATAAGAGGAATAGAGAGATTATGTATGAATTTTCGTAGCATAAAGTTGAACAAGTTATTTTTGAACGTCTACTCACGAACTCGAACATGTATGTTGTAAATATATGCAGCTCTCAAGCTCGAACGTGAATTTTAGTCTCAAAAAGTAGAATTTTACTCTCAGAAAAGTCAAGAGAAAAACATTCATAAAAATGCACAACAAAGTAAATTTTATTCTCAAAAAGTAGAATTTTACTCTCAGAAAAGTCAAAAAGGGCATCCGTAAGAATCTACGGCAAAGTAAATTTTACTCTCAAAAAGGCAAATGAAAATCGGAAAAAGAAAATTGAGAACAAATGAGAACAATGAACATGGAACCTGGACTCAGAGACTGTAGGAGCACGAACACGAACATGTTAGCTTCATTAGCTAGAGATGACGGATATATTAAATTTTTGCTAATGTTTGCAACTGTCAGAAGGAAGGGCATCAGCATCAAATTCTATTTATTTTTTAATTCATTTTCATTATCTATTATTGCTAAAAAAATGATTAAAAAATAAGAAGGGATTCATTACATTGATTTTCGATTTATATCATTTTTATGTAATAGTATTATTTCATCTGTTTGATCCATTTGGTAAATCAAAACTAATATATTAAGCGGTTCTTTTTTTTTTGAAAACTAATTAGCTAAAAAGCTTAAAGGAGTCTTTTGAATTTTTTGGATATATGCCGGAAAGATGATGCGCAACTATAAGTTCATGGAAAATCCATAGCTATTTTAAATATTTTTTAGGGCTTAGTGGGTTTATTAGGTGAAAGAGTGGGGAGTGTGTAAGTCAATCGTTTTGCTTAATATGCAATATGTGGCAACGGAAATCTATGGAAGTTATAGACAATAATATCCCCAAACAAAGTAATCGTATATCCTCTCCAAATGTGTGGAATATATGAAGCGGAATCTTGAAATATTGATAAGAATTGGAGGATATTTTTAAAACCGAGAATGAATCTCCGCTATATAAATAAAACAAAATTATATTATCGCATTAACATCATACATAAAAATGTGAAATGCAGATTGAAACTAATATGTTATCATTAGCTTTAAACATTAAAAATTGAAAATTAAGAAAATACAAAGTCATTTATTTATGTATCTTATGCATTCTTTTTTTTATTGTATTATTATTATAATTTTTTTTTATAATATTCTAATACATGCATGTGTTGTATGTGTTGCATGTATTTTATTTTGTTATTTAAAACTTTTTGAATTTGCTTTCCTGTATATTCCTATGAAAGACATTTTGACTTTCTTAAGAGTAAAATGAGTTGCATTACTTGTGGACTCTAAACTCCGTTAGCATTTAAACTTTGCTTTTTTAATTTACAACCGGGGCATCAAACTTAAATCAAACGCATACATGTTGGACGTAAACATAGAAAAGATGCAGAGAGCGTTAAAGCTTAAGAGAGTCGCTATTGAACAAAAGTTCATTTACTTTTTGAACTGGTTTGTGCAATTTTTTGTGTTTACTTATTTAGTCTCGTGTAGTTTGTTTTTCGTTTATTTCTTCCTAATAGTTGTTCTTTTTTCTTTGTGGTCTCGTTTTACAACATTTAACTTCAAACCTGTATGAGTTCGTTTTACTAAATTGTTATTAAATTTCCTTGTTATTTATGCACACACGATTTACAATCATATCAACATTCATACAGACGTACACTTATGTGTTTATATTGTAAATGCACTTAAGATCCACAAGTGTTTTGTATGCGTTTTTCTGAAGAATGTAAGAATGCAAGAAATATGACAACAACAATAACAACAACAGTATATAATGCTTGTACAATTATAATATACATCTATGCATGCATATTTGGCGCAGCCAATTTATTCTGCAAAACATATGAAAACTTAGAGTTAAGCAAAAACGACATTTGCTTCATTATAATTATATAGAATTTAGTTATGAATTTGTTTGTTTAACGAGAACCATTGAAAATTCTATGATGTATTGTTACGTACGTAAGTACTTTAAATATTATAAACTTTTCTAAATCTGTAAATTCATGGCGTCTGTGCGGTCATGTGACTTCATACTCCTCCAAATAGCATTCTGATGTAAACAACGTTATCCCTATTATCATTTATAACATTGCAGTATTTGATTACACTGTCAGCAAAATGAGATTTTAAGCATTTAACGATGGTAGCAATTGAACGAACTTGTTCGTCAATCCATCCTTTTTGAGCTTGTACATAATATAATTCGTTTCATTTATATGGTCGTAACTAACAATTCGAGCTTGCGTCCAACTATTGTGCAACGTTTTTATTAATTTCTTTAATCGGTAATTAATTTCAAAATGTTAAATACATTTTTAATAGCAAATTATCATTAACTATATCTCGTATAATATCGTCTATGGACCAATAACAAAATAAAGACCGTGCATTCTTGAAAGAGTTTCAATTAAAATGTGATATAATTTCTGGAATTATTTTTTGCAAAATCGACGACAACACAGCATATATACATATGTGAAAAAAAAACGTTACATAAATCTTTTAAAAATGTATGAATGAAGCCGCGAACTTACATTTCTGATGTCCCAGCATACTTTAGGGATTTCATCACTCCATCATTTACGCGAAGATACCTTTAAATGTGAGTAAAGAATTTTGTATCTACCTCTTCTGGTTTTCGAAATACCAATAATATGTGGTTGCTTCTATCAAAATGGGTTAATTGGATCCGTGAGATTTATGGAATCGTGGCAAACGTTCTTTGTTCTATTCAGAATCCAACGTAGAAAAATGAGTGTGATCAGCCCACACGCACACCTCTAATAGGAAGAAAATGTAGGCAATCTTGAAAAAACATCGTCAACTTTTTAACATTTTCATCTTAATGGTTGATCTAAAAATATTTCCACTCGATTTATTAATACGCGTACGCAGAAATTATTGAGTTACTGTATATGTCTCATTCTCATATGTGGGCTAACTTTTGATACCATCCCTTTTTGTACTTTCGGAGGTCATTTATGTACACAATTAATGAAAAAATTTCAAATTCTAACTTGATAGCTACATTGAAGACTCTTTTCACATACAAACCACCACAAAGTCACCAAGAATTTTTGTGAATTCTAAATGCCTTATAACACTTTTTTATTTTTTAAAACTTAAAGTTGAAAAATTTCAGATTTGCCCACATAGCAGTTCTAGCGTTAAGAAAAAATATTGGAACTTGTGTAAGGCCTTAAAGAAATGTTAGAGATCGTAATGTAGAGAAAAGAAAGAAATTTTGATTCGAAGATTGAATTCAATTTCCTTTCCTGCATAATCTAACGAGTGTTAATGAAAGACATAGGAAACGAAGTTCACCGTTTTTATAGAGAGACTTGATGTTGTAATAATGGTTTCAACAGGCAGGCAAGCAGGCAAGAAAAGAGGCAAAAAGATACGGGAACGGGCAAGCGAATTGGTAGATAGATTGTTAGCCAGGTGACACGTGAATATGGAGGTAGACAAGCGAGCAAAGAAACAGTCAACCGTGACGAACAGGTATATAAATTGACAGGTCGAGAGATCCACACTGTATAAAGCCGACAGCGAGTGAGACAACCAGAACGGATAACAAACGATGGTTTGAACCATTATTCTCGAAATCCAATATTTTGGTTTCAAATTAATAATCAATTTTCAAGTATATAAACTAGAAGCCGTTAATCCATATTCGT